TATATATATATACGATAAACGACAATGGTCATTTTACCTATTTTGGTAAAAAATTTGCTAATTTACAATAGTAAATTTAAAATAAATAAATAAAACTAGCTGTAACATCATACTGCTCTTTATCTTTTAGTATATTTTAGTCAGATATGTTACAAAAACAAGAATTAGGCAGTTTTGGGTGGATAAGTTTAATGTTGAGTTTGTATAAATAAGCAAATAAACCAGTGTTACATTAAATAAACGAATGCATACATCTAAATCTGAAACAAAATAAAAAAAAAAAAAAAAAAAAAAACCCACATTTTTAATCAATGTAAACTAAGTAAAACAAGCAACCCCACTGTGGAAGCTAAACTGAATTATTTTATAATTCTAACCATAATAATTCTGTTGTGATAATATGTGGAATGTAGACCTATTGCAAACGCACTGGTAACAACAATGAACAATTTCCTCAACTTCTACTTTATAAGATTAATTTGTATATATTGTCTACTCTCTTATTTTGTTGTGTCAACAATGCAGTTGTTTAACACACCCTCACACAATACAGAGTACATGCTGCTCCTCAAAAGATGGGCCTAAAACTACTAACCGCGACTAAGATTTAAACTTTGTGAGGAAGGAGAGACTGAAATTAATGTTTCAGTTTTGTTTAAAAACAAAATAATTTGCAAAAAAGTGTATTTCACAGAAACTCAATATTCACCAAAAAACATATTGAAACAGACACACAGACTCCACAAACTGTCAGCTTATCACAGGAAAGAAGTTCACAACCCGTCTTTACAAAGAAATGGAGCTCAGTTAGTGTTGACCCTATAAAAAGGTCAAAAATAGCTGCTTGCACCTAGAATGCCAAGCTGAAATCAGATCACTTTACAGAGTGACGAATACAGCTTTCTTCGCTCAAACCACATTTAACTAAAGCCCTGTGACCAGGTTGTACATAAATTATCTCCAGTCTCCCTGTTAACACAGAATCAAGATTTTCAAAAAAGTTAAAACAGTGAGGTCTTTCTCTTCTGGTATAACCCTCTGCCCCCTGAACGCCCCCATCACAGATGAGTGCGAATCAAGACAGAAGGTTGTCAGACCCAGGGGACTTGTGAGGAATCGACAAGGATAGACAAGCTGCAATAATATAATATAACACCTCATTTCATATATATATCTATATCTATATAGATATAGATATATATATGTACATAATTTGCCTTTAAATTGATAATGACAAATATAGCACAGGAACAAACCAGTCACAAAAGGCCTCTACTCACTTTTAGCTTTAACCACATAAAAAGTAAGAACAATGGCATGACAACTGAAACACCAGTTTAGCCCATAACAGAAGACTGCAAGTCAGCAAAATTGCCATGCACATAAAAAACGAGACTGATGAAATAGAATATGTGTTTTAGGCTTCACTTTCACCTCGAAAGACAATCTTTTGATGAAAGGAGGCGAATATAATGTTGAGCAAGAGGTTTCGTAGGTATTTGTAAAGTTACTGGGTTTGACTCTATAGCTAATCCGTGTGATGAAGTAATTTACATTTTTTTATTGTTTCAATACAAATGCAAAAGAAATATAAATACTGCACGCAATATTAATATAAATATGGAAGTGCAATGTAAATATTGCTCCGAAATACTGAGAGAAAATTACGAATGATTCAAACAATATTTTGGCATATCAAAAGTGAATATTATATTAGTCCAGTCTTTAAATATTTAGGAAATATATTCTTAAACTGGAAGATTAAAATAAAAACTATATGTAGACAAAAAATAAATCATAGATAAAGTCAGTGAGGAGGACATCAGCAACAACATGAAAAATAACATTAAAAAAAATACCATTTTGCTAATTTTTTTGCAAAATAATGAGCAATCCTGCAACTGCAAAACCGACACTTCAGTCTACAAACAAACAATGGCTAGAGGAACACAACTACCTTGATGTCTAAATAAACATATAATATTCATGTTAAAGGTTGAGTTAATGTAGACAAAAATCAGGCAGTAAGAAGCTTTTAGAAAATGAAAATTTCGCCATAAAAGAAATTCTGTTGGAATGACTGCATCCTTGTATGCATTAAAAGACTTTAACAAAGCATCCACAACTTTCTTTTTCTCCCCCTCACATCCAATGCAGAAATCCACACAAACCACAAGTTCAAACTGTCAGACAGTGAGCTGCACATCAAGAGTAATGAAAACTAAAGCTGAAGTTTCACAGTGGTTCTTTTTAAAGGGTAAATGATTACTCAAATTCAATGACTAACCGTGCAAATCTTTAACCAAAGACATTCCAGCAACTGCAGAATCACTGACATCAGCGGAGACTTCTGCTTATTTGTTTAAATCATTCCCTGGCTATCCTACAATATAAGCAAAATAAAAACTATAGTTTTATATATACACATCTCACAAAAATGTACCAGTATAAAGAACAGTGGACGCACAGTTTCTAACGCAGTGAACCACAACCAGTGTGTGGCCAATTTCAACATTTCAAATGTAACACATTTCACATTCACCACTCAGAAAGTGTTGTGAAGCAAGACAAAGACAAAACAAAGCTCAGTTCTGCTCCCTTTCTGGTTAGGCATGGTGTCTTTCATACAGAATTAAAACTCATAATCCTGAAGTGACAGAACCCCAGTTTGACTCTGATGTCTAAGTTTTATATAACACTTAAAATTAACAGATAAACGAGCAAATTAAATACATAATTAAATTTAAAATTAAGAAAGAGCCTTTTTCTAAGCTGATGAACTTTAAAGTCTCTTTTTTTCAAAAATATAAATATAGTTAAATTAATTAAATCCTAATTAACCCCTGTTTAATTTGGGAGTCTTTAGGAAAAACTGTTCTAGCACCAAAGTTATCAAATATTTCAATATTTTGAGACAAGGCTAATCGAATATTGAAACATGGTAATGAACAGTATATTTGCATAATGACTGAAATCTAGCACCACTGATTAACAATTAGCTGTTAACATGTGGTGCTAGTTTGCAAATATGCAAACATGCTGTTTATGAGGTTGGGAAAACCTGCAGTCAGCTGAGAATGAAGAAATCACTTGGATGAGTGACGCTACGTTACTTTTTTTAGGAAACCATAAAAGCGTTAGTAAACTATCCCTTCTCACTGTGAAATTTAATTAACTTTCATTTGATTAGATATATAATAAGACCACTAATTACTATTGCCTTCTTTTTATGAAGTGTGACTATCTCTAGCCAGACACATTGAAATTGGCTATAAAGATCTCCTCTTTTAAAATAAGCAGTGAATCCATCTATATATCCCCGACTATGCAAACCCAGTAACCCACTTCCATCATGGTGTCAGATGAAGGTAAATAAATCACAACCCAAGTGATTTAACTTGAAACATAAAAACGCAAAAATAGAACAACTCATTTTGCACTCCACAAATATGTAAATAGTACAGCCTTGAGGTCCCTGGGATTTTCTAAAGGTCGCCGAGTGTGGAGCGCTCAGTGATGACGTTGCCTGAGAGCACCGGGACTAAAATGAATGTAGCATTTGTTGAGCTTCATTTCAGAGTTGCTGTCAATTGTTTTTAGAACACAGTGAAGGACATTTGTGTTACTGATTGTAATAAAGCTGTTTGCTGTTCACATTTTTTAAAAAGTTGTTTTTTTGTTAGTTCTTCATGTTCTGTCTCTGATGATAAGAAGGATAGTGTGTATTTCATGATCTTTCAAGTGTCTTGTATCCATAGACAAAAGACACTTTAAAGGTTATTTAGTTTGTTCTCGCTTTGCAACTGTGACCCACTCAATTTGAACTTCTTTTTTTCCCCCTCACATGGTAGCCAGAGGTTTAAACTTTACGTTTCATTTTGGAGTCTTTAGAAATACTCTATTCTAGCTCCAACACTGTTAAAATATTTGAACATTTGAGACAATCCAGAATGGCCTAATCTAATACTAAAACACAGTAATGGTAAGGCGACATATATCTTCTCTATGCACAAAAAGTATTTAGAGTAATAAAGTAAAGCCATAAAAATATTTTGAATTCTAATATGTTGGAAAAATAAAGAGTTTATTAGCACCATTTAAAACCAATTTGAGTATTTTCTTTTGCAAGCACTTCTGAAGACATTAAAAACGGTTAACTTCTTCAGCTTCAGCTTTTTCTAGGTTTATCACAGAAATATCTGAGAGTTGCTGGTGTAAAACTGACAGATTGGACTTCAACACATTTAACCGTGCCGATTTTATGCAAACAGTCTCAGAAAAAAATCAGCATAATTTCAAAACTGCTGTAACCAGATGTGCATACTTCACTGCTCCTCATATCCACCTTTAATGTAACATAACTTTTAGCAACTTTAATGGAAGTCTGCCTCTCTCTCCATCCTTCAGTGGAGTGCTCACTAAGAAGAATATCATCAGTCTACTGAGTTTCTATTTTGAAAATGTTACTCAACTGATAAACAAATGCAGATTTTGATCTGGGAGCCAATCAATAACGCGCATTTCCAAGACTATTAGCCTACTACATATCCAAGGAAAACAAATAGTGATAGAAAACAACTTGCATGGAAGTTATACTTTTAATAACAGTGATGTCAAAATGAGCATTTACCTAATTTCTTTGTCTAAACTGGTACTGAATAAGCTTGTCCAGCAATAATATCGTTCAGCAATTTATTAAAGCTGAAAGCTAAGTTGATTAGCAGTTGCGCGCATGCGCACAATTGGCTTTATGTCCCGGTGTGCAAATTCAGCATTTGAGGAGGGTGGGAATTATCTTGGCAGCACAAGAAAATCTTTGGGCTCCACGGACAACGAGAAACAGTTAGTAGCGTTTAATGAGAAAGTAGTGGAGAAGTGCGTCGGTGTTTTTCGTGTAGCGATGCTGCTTTCACCTCGCTACGTTCACGCTTTCAGAAGTGTTAAGGGATTTCAATAAATCGTCTAAAAATCATTAAAAGTTAAACCATGGTTGGACTTACCAGCGGATCCACCGGCGATGACCTGACGAGAGGCTTCTCGGAGCATGCTCTGTGGCTTTGTGGCTGTCATTTTTAGTGTTTTTAGATGCCCTGTCACAGAAAACACGGCCAAACGCTGTTACACGCCCTGTAAGGTTACTGCTACTGTGGCGTTAATGCTGTATTACACCTACGTCGGTGCTCATTAACTCGCAACAAACCTGTGGATTTCGTGCTCTTCGGTGAGGCTGCTCGGTGGTGTCCTGCCCCGTGCGGCTCACGGTTGACTCAGAGGTTCCTCTGCTCCTGTAGCGGCAGCCCACGCTGGAGACAGCGCAGCAGCGCTATCTATCCGAGTGCTCACGGGCTAGGCTAGGCTAGGCTAATATGGAGTAGTTACCCCCCCACGGGCCCACACTTACCTCTCCACTCTCTGAATAGTTTAATTTAATCCAGCCACCGATAAACGTAAAGCAAATAATCCTATGTATAGATAATTAATATGCACTTAGTGCTTTATATTAAACAAAGGCAGCTATTAAATCTTTATGCATTGTTTATATTACAAATGCAGGCGTTTTAATTAAATTAATTATAATCCTATAATATTAGATGGGTCAAAGCCCTGGTGTACACGCCAGAATGAGACCACTCACGAGCACTATTCGTGGTTTTCAGGGGTTTGGGGATCTAGAAGCAACACACTATACAATACCTCTTCAATAAATTAATAAAAGAAAATCAGATATTGACACCCCCGGCATCTATAGTGTAATTGCCATGCACCGTGAACTCAGACGTCACTCGGTAGAAGTCAACGTGAAAACACAGCAGTGGGGCAAGTCAGATTACACATTAGTCAAACAGCTTTGTGGTGCAAGGTCCATGTGATGTGGTGTTGTACAAGTGTGTAAATAGGTCAGCTAAAGACAAATTTGGAGATTATCCCATTTGTCCAAAGTTCATATTTGAAAGTGTTTATAACAGTTTAAAGTCATGCATTTTGCTTTATCTGTAGAATGCATGCATATCTGCATAATATCTGCGCGAGCCCTTTTGTAATGTACCGACATTGTGATCCATAGAGGTCAATTAAGAGCAGGTGCTGTAGATTCCCATTGCTTTTCCAGTTAAATGTGTTGTTTTACAAAGATGTGAAATGTATGTAGGACTCACACTGTTGAATCCCTGTAACATTATTTATTGTATATTTATACGTTTGAACAGGGTCATTTTTTGTGTAGTGCTGAGTTGAGTATTTTTACTCTTCACAATATAATTTGTTCTGTTATTCAAACTTTTTTCTTCCTCCAGCACTGTTTTTTTCTTATTTTTCTTTTTTGTCTCTGTGTTACTTTTAAGCAAATTGATGCATTTAGGATGCCAAACTGCACTCTGAAGAAACTAGTTAAGAAATATCACCTGCTTTGTGTATTTTTAAAGAACATAAGGTTACAGAGAAAACAGCAAAGGGTAAACTCTGGATGACTTTGTGAAGTAAACAGTCAGATACGAACACAATGTTTTTAAACTATGTACAGACATCCTCCTTTGCAAACATTAGTCTAGTTAAACACACACCCAGTAAGACTTTCAAGGTAAGCAAATGTTCATCTACAGCTACAACATTGAGATTGTTTGCTATAAATTCAAATAGAGCATGTGGCCTTATTGCACCATGGAAAAAGTGCAAAAGATATTCATTTTTGTTTAGAAATGAAGGCATGTAGAAATTTAGCAGTGAGCCCTATAATAGAATTTCATTTTGTATGAGAGTAGTTATGGAACAACAAGAGCTCCAGACAAGCTATAAAAATCTGGAATTTATAGCATACATTTGGCAGGAAAATACCATTACCACTTTGACCTCCTTGGATAAGAAAAAACAGAGCATGATAATATATACTTGGAAGGCTGTGTACAACCGGCACAGAAGGTAAGTTTATGGACAAAATGAATGAGAGAAGAAGTTCTGTGCTCTCCATGGGACGCTTTGGCTAGAACACGATTCTTGTCACCATTGCTTAAACCTTCTGATTCATGATTAAACTTTATAGTACTTAGTAGCAGGAGTGTTTCATAAGGGAAAGCCAGTGGAACATTTGTTCCAGGAAAAGAAAATAGGACAAGTGTTAATAGCATTTAAAATGTTTCTACCATTTCCTTAGACACATAATTAATAAAAATGGAAGCACACCTCACCCCCAAGTAGTCATGCCAGGTGGCCGCCCATCCCTGAGCCCAACTCAACAGAGATTTCTTCCTGTTAAACGGGAGTTTTTCCTTCCCACTCTTGCCAATTGCTTGCTCCTAGAGGGTTGTCTGACTGTTGGGGGTTTCTCTTTGCTATTGCAGGGTCTTTATCTTACAATATAAAACACCTAGAGGCAACTGATGTTGTGATTTGATGCTATTTAAATAAAACAATTGAAAATTGAATTTTAAAAAAAATGTACTTAGTTGCAATACTTTCTACCACTCTGAAGTATTAAATAGTCTACATAACAAAATTTATACAAAACTGGAGCTAAAAAAAAAAAAAAGTCAGAGGAATTTATCATTTATTTTAATAACCACACACAGACATACGAGCTACATCTTTTAAACAATTGCAACAGATGTCAATACAGTAACCAGACGTACTCTGCTACACAAAGGAAACTACATTTTCCCCACACAAATGTGACATTTGTGGTAAACATTTCCTAATGTTATGGAGAAATAAATAGCTATTATAACATAAGCAAGACAGTGGTTTATCCAAAACAGTTCAAGTCATTATAATATTTTGATAGCTCTTTAAAAAAAAAAAAAGAAAGAAAGTGTTCTCTCCTTTTGTTTGCCTGATGATCGATTAAAAATAATGTAATTTTAAATATACTGTATGTTTAGTGTAATTAGGGAAGACCATTTTGTCTTATTGTGAAAGAACAAAGCAAGAAAATACTATCAATTCACTGTTTCCAGTAACTCAAGAGTCAAATATTTTTCCAACTTTCAACTTTTTAGACTATTTTTCAACTAAATCTGAATCTGTCCATTTGCTAGAGAGACATCTGTGAGGGGCATCAACTGAAATTTCTGACATTTGCAGGACAAAATATTTCATTAATTAGATAATTGAGAAATTAGTCATTTCAATCTATCATATTAATTGCTATTTGCCACCCTACATTAGTCAAATATTATATTATGGGTAATTAACAGATTAAAATGTATGAATCTGTCCTAAAATACGCAACATTAGCTCCTTTCTAAACGAGCAGCAGCTCTTCATCATATTCAGACTCTTGCTTCATTGTCATTTACTTTTGATCGCTGATGATGAAAAATTCTAGTGACACACAGGCAGACAAATTATGACTTCTGCAAGTGGGAACATCGAGTATCATCAAGTCCTCAGATCATTACAGTATTTCAGGAATGGTTCTGATGTCCAATTTCAACACTGAATTCCCAAGTGAACTAGCACCTATGAAATGCAAAGTTGAAACACCTGTGTTGAAATAAATAGTCTAAAAGACTGATCCTGGCATTTCTAATTCTAACTCTTAATAAGAACAACAACAATAATAAAAACTTTAATAAAAGTACCTCTTCTGTAAGAATGAAAACTCAGGACATGCAACCCAGTGCACTCCAGATGAATGCAAAGTAATAGTAACTGCTGCCATCAAACCTCCCTCTACTAACAGTCTTTCTCAATTTTTTTTATTTTCGCAATTCACAGTAGCGTGGGGCCCTTGGTGGTGTAGTTCATGGTTGGGAAGTGCCTGCTGTCTGCATCCCAGTGACTGAGGGGCTGGTGAGAGGCAGATGGGAGGCTGGGGTTCCAGTGGTTAATGTAGCTGGCCATGAGCAGAGTCAGCTCCAGTATCTGACATGAGAGTGAAAATAGATTTTAACAACCTAAAGTCAATGACATTAATGAGTTTTATGTAATTCTAGTGAGCTGGAAGCCCAGAAAATGCAAGAAAGCCAACTGAATATGTTTACCTTGATTAGGTAAATGCAATCTGACCACAAATAGATATATAATTACAATGATAAAAGCAGGAAGTATACCTTAGGTTTAGGCATTGCAAAGACCAGCTTCTCCACGCTCTTCTTCCCGGCTCCAGCCTCCCTCTGTTGGCTCGTGACCACCATGAAATCATCACGACAACCACCAAAGGTAATCACAGACTGGTAGGAGTATGTGACCAGAGTGTGCTGAAAAAAAGGAGCATTGCCAGTGTGAAATCTGCAGTGAAGTGGATATAAACAGAATTCATGTTCAGATTTTATTGCTGACCCCATTATATAGTATGGAATTCACTTAGGAAATCATTTTGGTTTCTCCTTCTTTTTGAGGAGTAAATTGAGTGTGAAGATATGTGACATAATTTCCAGCAACTTATTCTGATTTTCACTTTGTTTTCTCCCATTTCTTTCTGAAGGCACATGGTCTGCACGCCAGACCAAGAATGAAATGAATCAACATGAGCTGCAGAAAATTACAGAGCTCACGTTAGCATAGTTTACATGATGGAACTGCTGTGTGTCAGGGTCAAGTATGTCAATTCAGAGGCTGGCCGTTTTATTTTCCTTGGGATTTCTGGTGTTCGAAACACCACAGAACGAAAATCATTCCAGACCAGTGGGTCAAGAAAGCTTTGCAGCTGTGTCCTATCCAGCTGCTGCAGCAGTTAAAAGCTATCTCTAGATTTAACAGCTATAAAGTCAAGCCGGAAATTCAATAAAAGAATGGACTTTCTAAATTCTAAATTGTTCTGGCAGCAGATTTTATTCTGAAAACACATGACAGGATGGTCTGCTCAGCTTGAAACTCACCATTGTGTAGTCCAGCACACACAATCCATCCTCATTGACTGCCAGCCACACCTGGCTCTGCTCAATAGTAGAGGGGGGTACAGGCTGTGGACAGGGGAAACAAAGAAGGGTCGTTTTACAGATGTTATACAGCTTCGTCTCAAACAGGTTTGGGCTTGAAAGCTTAGTTCAAGGTTTTGGTTCAAAATGATCTAAGTATGCTTTTTGGTTTTGATGAAGAATCACATCAAGACCGACATTTAAAGATTGATTAGACAAACAGGAGGCGATAAAGTTCACATAGAGTAACATCAGTCACAAAACAACAGAAGACATGTATTCAACTTTTATTTTGTTACCTTGGCACTGAAGAGCTTGGCTCCAAACAAAGGCCATTTCCGAGCCACAGTTAGGTATATTCTTACACACTCGGATGCACTGCACCCACGCAGCATTGACCACTTAGTGGCGAGACGCTCGGTAAGGTCTCTGAGAGGATAAAAGGAACAGTGGTGAGTTAAAATATGGCAGGATAACAAAGCTTTATAAAGTTCTCAGATCAGGTTCTAGATTAAGAAATTGTGGAATGGCACATTTATTCGTTTTTGGGTTTTTTTTTCTTTACTTGAGCTGCTCTGAGCTGCAGTCCTGTTTGTAGCGTTTTGGGTAGAAGCGTTCTAAGGCTTGAAGGAGAATTATTTGAGATTTAGGCTGAGAAGAGCCAGAGGGAGAGGAGGCACCTGGTCTGTCCAAATCACCATGTTCAACCTGGAGGACAAAAGAAAAGAGATAGTTAGAAGACAAAAAGGCTTTCGAAAACGCACAAAATCATACATTTCAGCACTGTAGATAAAAGAATAGCATTTTTTTCCTTCCAAAAAAGTCTCTTTTTCTTGATAGAATTGTTACAGACCTGGGCCAAGAGGGCAGCCACTTCAAGAGCCAGCTCTTTGTTTACAGGAAAATGGCCTTGCTGGACTTCATCATTCACCTGGTATGCCAGCAGGAGGCGCTCTCGTTCCATTTCTCCCTTTACCTGAGATCTGAAATACAACCTGCATACAAGAGCATATTGTTATTAAGGCCGTTTTCTTGGGAGAAACTGAAAATTGAGATATAACATCAGCATATTTCACTTTGCAGTCTATAACATTTTTTTAAAAAAAATCTTTAAATACATCTCTATGACTATAGAGTAAAAGTACAATGTTGCTGATGTGTTTGAGTGCTTCAAAATTGAGATATGAAAATAGAAGTCATACCTGTTCTTGTATGTTAGCCGTACAATCCGTGTCCCTTCATTTTTCCCAGGATGCAGCTCC